ATTTATCCCTCTCATTGGTCTTGCCGTCAGAAATCAACAATAAGTTAATTCAGTATGCTAGCCTAGAAGCCACATCACAATATGCAATTCTTCCCACTGTCAGGAGCATTTATCTCTTGAGATAAAAGGGAAAGCATTCTAGAAAGCCCTCTAGGCACAAGCACACAAGCAAGTGGAAGAGACAATAAACTTTGTTCTGGTTCATTCATCTTAGGAAAGAACATCACATGGTCTCTTCTTGAATTAATGTTACTGTATTTCAGAGAGAGAGAGAGAGAGAGAGAGAGAGAGAGAGAGAGAGAGAGATGGTAAAGAGATAGATAGATAGATAGATAGATAGATAGATAGATAGATAGATAGATAGATAGATAGATAGATAGATAGATAGATAGATAGATAGATAGATAGATAACAGCGATAGTAGATTAATGTATAGATGAAATGGTCAAAAAAGTTGAGAAGTAGAAGGTGAGAATAATAATCCTCCATTTAAAACTGCCTATTATAAAGTTAGACCCCAACTGTTAATGCAGCAAAAATCTTATTGTCAGCATTTAATAATAATACATGCATGAACTGTTGCAGTACAATTAAGAAATTTCCAAACATATGCTTTTTTAATTCAAAGACAACTCATATTTTGATTTTTCTTTCAGTCGTCACAAAAATATGAAATCTGTAACACTTTGGCTTTAACATTTCATAAGCTTGAAGGATGTATATGAATATATGTAAAGCACATACTTAGATTTTTACTGATATCTTTCTTGTACATTATTTTTTTTTCTGGCTGTGAAGTGTTAACAGTAGATTGTCCTCCAGTGTTATCTGCGCAACTGATCAAATCTGCTACCCCTGGAAGATTTGTATAAGCTTTATGAATTTGGGATACTAAGGATTCTCTTTTTAAAAGAAGATATAAGCAGTCATTTTCAGGCATAGTGGGTTAACAGATCTGCATGCCCTTTGTGTGCTTTGGAAATGAAAAAAATGATTTCCCAGCTTGCAGGAATGAAACTGCAGGAGATTGCCCATCTAGATGTTTAGATGAATTGATTAGTGTTTATGGTTTTTCTAGGCTGATTTAAAAAGAGAAATCTCTGTCATCGGCAAACCTCCTCGTAGCCCTGCTTTGATTAGGAGATCTTGTGGCTCACCTGTCAGAGGGCACAGCTATTCACATAGGGTATGATACTACGTGGCCTGTTAGGTATTATCAGGTTTCCCCCTAGCATAAAGTCTTTAGAACTGGTTATGGGATCTTGAATTCACACGTTCAAATAATTCTAATGGTTTTTCTTTCTGTTGTTCTGCTGTAGAAAATGTTTTGAGTGGTAACAGTGTGAAATACATGGTACCCTGTGCTTGATCTCCAAGTTCACTGATAAAATGTAAAGTAAAACTATTACATGTGTCCATTAAATCATCCTTTTAAAAAGCACATTTTTAGCCACTCAAATTTGTATTTAACTTCCCCCCTTGTAAATAACTCCTCTTGTTTCAAAGTGTTTTACTTATGAGACTTAACAGTGGCTACATAATGAAGCCTCTTTGTACCTTTCATGGGTTCCATAAAGTTTAAGTTATTGTTCTTTGTTTTGAATTGCATGATCCTGTTTTCAAAATATTTTGCTGCTATAGCAATATATATTGTGTTGATTTGTTAACACGCTTTCTCATAGCATTGCTTTTTCTAGAGTTGTCATTTGCATTAGCTTTTCCATGCATATATGCTTAAAAACATATATCTTTCTCAAATTGCAGTTTTGGCTTAGCAACGTGATAATCAGTTTCCTCTAGTGAAAGATAAAAGTGTGATTTACACATTTTGTGTTAAAGCCAAATCTTAAATCTATCCAACTGTTTTCCCTAGTAAGATTTGTTTGTCTGAATTTCATGGAAAGGTTTAGGAAGAAGAAAACAATGTTATTTAGATAAAACAACCTAACACTTTCAGTTATGTTGGTGTCAACTCTGGTAATGAACAACTTGAATAGGTCATTGTCTATGAAGATTTTCAATCATCCAGGTCATGGTTGTCCCAAAGGTGCTTTTCAAAAGGCAACTGGACTTTCTTGGTTTTTTTCCTTGAAGATGTTTCACTTCTCATTCAAGATGCTTCTTCAGAAGAAGTTTCTTGGATGAGAAGAAACTTTGGGATTTCAATGGATCATAATGGCTCAAATTTATAAATGAATTCCAGATTGAGGCTGATTGAAGTGAATGGATTTTAAAAAATTGCTGAGTTTTGTAACAATATCCAACTAAATGGATATACAACTACGTACACATCTGTAAAGCTAATATTAAGTAAGATTTCCTCACCAACTTTATCTAGTGTGAAGTCTTAAATCTTTTAAATTATACTCATAGCTATTGATCATTGTTGATTACTCATTGCTCTCTGCTTTTGACTACTGCATTGCATTTTTGACAGAACAATTCTTGAACGTTGATTAAATTCTGTAACTGATGCAGACTAATGTCTATCCATTATATACCTGTGTTCCAATGGTTGCGCAACCATCTTTGTAGCTCTCTGGGAAACAAATAATCAGAATAAACATGAAAAACATTCTGAAGAGCTCAGATCAGATATAATAAAATATCATTTATTCTCCTAGGCATATCCTCATAGAACTAGGCACCACACGATTCAACTGAGGACAGTCAGTAGCACTGATGAAGAAGTGTCAGGACCTTTCTTATTAAAACATTTTAAGGGCTTTAAATAATACTTAGTAGTCACAGAAGCATTCTCATGTAGCCTATAATGATTAAACATAATTCGTCTGAGCATCTTCTAAAATAAATATATATGTTAACATGTAACTATATGGCTTAGATATCCATGAAACATAAATAAATCTAATCTGTTTTAACTTACAAGAGTTTACTTTTAGTTCTGTCATGCATGCAGTCACAAGAAAAGGCACAGCTGCTTTAAGATGTTGCATGTAGGGCTATATTCACACTCCTGTGCATTCCAAAGCTCATTTTGGAATGCAAATCTATAGTGCTACATAGTCAAAAGAGTCAACATTTTAGGCACAATGTAGGCACAAGACAGTTCCATGCATGTACTAAAATTTTTTAAAAATGTAATGTATTTTTTTTTATAAACAGCCTCTGGTCATTAACTTATTTTGAAACTTGTTTGACTCTCTCACTTGTTTGCATTATTATTTGCATATGGAGAATGTTTTAATGTATGTGTTAAACTCTTAGGCTCTAGCATGCACCTAGTGGCAAATGCATAAGACTTAGATTCAGGAATCCTTAAAGGGATCCTTCCAAAATCAATGGAGTTTGAGTGATTTCTGATGTCTGCAAGGTCCTATTCGAAGTCTGAATCTCGTGCAATAACATTGTATGCATTTCCCATTCAGGAAATGTTGAAGCGACATTTAAGCTGCTTTCTAATTTCTGCAGACAGTTGCTAATAGAAAAATATTCTAGAATAACTGCTGCATTCTGTTTCTCTCTAGCAACATATTTTCTAATCATATTTAAAAAAATAAAGTTAAAGAATGTCTCTCATACATTTTCAATGTAATACATTATAGTTTATATAATGTAACAAATCAAAACCATTGTCTTTTATATAACAAGTTTCAGTTAATGTATGAACATATTATTGTGTGGAAATCAGAGATTACAGTGTTCTCTGATATATATTTGGGTAGAATCTAATTTTTCTGTAAGCATTCCTTTTTTTTTAAATGAAAGCAATAAGGTTGAAAGTGTACTGTAGCTAAAGTGTGTCCTAAAGCAGTAAGCAGATGTTTGAAGTAATTTTAGAAATTGCACAATCCATGTCTGCATAGTTTACTAGATACAGAAAATAGTAATTCACAACTTGACTCAATAATTTATTAAGATGTATTCATCTTTTAAATAGCTACCAAGAGTATATGGTTTAGTTTGGTATTTGTCAACCTTGAGAGCTTGAAGATAGGTGGACCAGCTCCCATGCTGGCTGGTGAACTCTGAGAGTTGAAATCCACATATCTTCAAGTTTGAGAAACACTGATTTAGTTCATAATTCTGATTGTGCCAAAATATTTTTGGAAATAATTTGTAGGATTGACACTTAATTCATAATAAAATTTCAGAAAGGATTTATAAATATATCTCAAGGGCTATTCTCTTAAATAATAGATCGGGCAAGAGAATCAAACGGTTCTCTTAAAATATAAATTCATATTTGTATTTGTCAAATTCCTACCTTTATCTTAAATTTTATTTATAACCTCAATTGAACTTTTGAGAGATCAAGTCCATTTTCTATAACTTTTCAAGAAATGTGTTGTCCTGGATTAATGACTAAATGGGTGGAACCTACTCACACATATTTTTGATAAACAGCTGGTGATCTTTTGCTCTCTTCTCCTTTTAAGGAGTCCTTAAGCAAATACATAAACCTCTCAAGGCCAGGAAGCATAGCAAAATCTCTCTGAGAGGGCACTTCTTTAAGAATGTTATCCTCCTGACCAGTCATCAGGAATGGCTGCTCCTTGTTGATGAAAAGCATTTGAATTGTAGTGAGGCTGTTTTTTCCTGCTATTTGCTTATTGAATGGTGTGGTAAATTCTGTGACACTAATGGTGTTTGAAAACACTGAAGCTAAAACTTATCTGCTTTCTTTGGCATAGCAAGATTTAGGCTGAGAAGGATAAAGAGGCTTGCACAATGGAAAAGTCTTTGAATAAATTGTTTCTTCTTTATCCCCATCTTTTTACCAGATTTTTTTCTTAATGAGACCTAATAAAATATGGGTCTATACAAAAATACACCTGTACAATGCATGTCCACCCATAGGTGTGTATGTATAGTTCCAAATTGTATCTTACCTACTGCTGAGAAAACCTGTTTTTAATGCAGCCCCTAAATCAGGGAATGTATTGAAGCACTTAGTGAGTTGACTATTATGGAAGACTGTGCTAAATTAATTGATTATAGTGTATACTCTTACTACATTTCAACTCATTTCATTTCAGCCACAGCGCCCTGTGTTTGCTCATGACAGTGGGGGGGAACCGTAAGTATTTTCATCTACTCAAGTTATTCTTTAAATAACAGTGTTAAATTTCTAACTGGGCAAAGGGGAGAAATAGTCATCCTAGAAATCGTATATCCTCCCAAGGCTCACTATGGGCACAATAGAAAAGGATAAGGAAATGGGGTTGAACTAAACTAAAGTCTTGTGTGATTTTCTCTCTTACCATGATGCATACATGCACCCATAAACCATATTTCCATCCATTCATAATGTTTTGAACTCTTTGAGCTCTTATAAAATCCAAACATAGCGATGTTCAACCTTCATAATTGGGCACAGAAATTCCAGAGATGTCGAGAATGTTGTATTCATCCTCAATGCAACCATATAAAAACTTTCCAAAAACTTTTTGGGAAATTTTGTCCAGTTGGAAGTACTCTCTGCAAGTAATTCATGGTATCCTGGGCATGGCATTCTGGACACAACCAAACTGCTTTGGACAAGACTATTTTCACCATATCTAAAATTGCTTCCATTCCAAATTATTTCCAGAAACTATTGAGCCACCTTATAGTCTGAAGAGGGAATGAAAAGTTCCACAGATCTCCAGGACAGTTGTTCTTCTCAAACTGGTGAATTTTGCACAATCCTATCCAAAAGAAAGAGAGAAAGTGACCATAAGTCAAACCACAAAAGTTTTAAAATTCCAGTAGATGCCAAAGATAGTGGCTGTGTTGAACTCAAGAGGAAGCAAGCTGTCTAGAGAAAATGAAACTATCATGCTATGCTAATGAATCAAATATTCATTCACAGAGCTTTGTCAAACTGCCTTGCAATATGATCACCTGAAAACTGAATATGTATCCATAAATACATACCAAAGAGAAACCAAAGTTGAACTAAGTAAATAATTATAGTCATCAGAAAGTGGGCCATAACTCAGTTCAAGAATTTTCAACAAGCTCCTTTAAAAAAAAACTTGAACAAATATCCAGATTGGGGATTAGGGAATTGGGGAGCTAAAAGGAAAAAAAAAATAGCCCTTTAAAATCCTGACCTCAGCCACTTTTGAAACCCATGTAATGTCTGATGTCAAGCTAAAAGAATTTGTACACCACTTTTCCTAGAACAGATAGGAAACTTCCAGCTTCCCATCTGCTTATCTTGACATAATAGTTCTGTATTTGGACCCCCTTACAGCTATAACATGTCTCCACTATAGTGGGATACAAGTAATAGGATCTGGGAAGTATACAAATTAATCATCTCATTTAATGACTGTGTAGATTTTCTCACACAAGACAAACTTATCAACAGTTCCCAGAATTGAAATGAGACTCACTGCAAAATCCACAACTGTAGTAGGAAGATTCCAGCACATATTGTAATAAAGTGTCCTCTGTGATTGCATCAGTTGCTCAGTAAGGTCTGAGTAGATGTGAATGTTGCAACTGTATTCTTGTCTGGAAGAGCCTTGGGTTGAAGGTAGTTTATAAATCTACCAGAATCTTGCAATATGTTATTTTTTGTTCTGGAGTGAGACATGGCATACACACATATTATTTAAATAATTATTAGCAAAGGCCAAATTTGCAATGTATTGCAGAGAAGCAATATTTAATAATCTCAGTTGATAAACTACACAGAATGTTTAGAATAAGAGAAATATAGGTACTAAACTTTTAGAATATAATATGTGTATTTAGACATTACCAAGACAGATTATGTTATTCTATTTAAAATGAAAGCATCTTTTACCCTGAACTCAACTGCTGGTGACTCATTCAGAACAAGTTCCAAATTTTCCAACTCATGAACAAACAGAAAGAGTATTTGGCTGCTACAACAAACAAAGTATATCTGTTTGTAACTAAGTAGATTCCTTATTGACACAAGGTCATAACCCTCCACAACATCCTGTCACAGAGCCCTTAGGACTTCATACAATATGATTTATTAGGAAGTATGGGAATGGGTCTCTTCACAATTCTATTCATTTTTCCCTTCTCAGTGGTTTATGTATGTGGCCAAAACTGAAAAAGGAAAGATTTTAATTAGTATTCTTTGTTGCTTTTATTTCATTTATATCCTGTCCATCTCCAGGATCTCAATTTGAAGAATATTATTTCCTCTCTCCATTTTATCCTCAGGTTAGGCTAAGAGATTGTATTAAGCAAGAACATTTATTTAGGAACTAGCAATGCAATCCTTTGTTTCCACTCATAAACACCATCCATTGTGTTCAAAGAGGGTTATTTTCAAGTGAGCAGATATACAATTGCACTGTGAACTGGGAAATTTTTCCAAGGGCAGTGAATGAGCAGTGAATGGCAGTGAATAGGTAGATGTTTCTTTATAATGTATAAAATGGTATTGGATAATATAATACAATTTTTAAATATGCATAATTGGAACATAATGCATGGAATATAGAACTGATAAAACCATATTTTGTGGCACTGTATGATTGATAATGTATTTCACACTTTATTGTCAGTATATCTCTTAAGAAAGCCACCAATCCAAGTTTTAACAATTGTCAATTGTCTTTATTTTGAATATATTTTGAATTTTTTAATCCACATATTTGTATGGCATTTCATATAATTAGATTTTTTTAAAAAATCTAAATAATTACAGAAAACCCTAACATGATAATTTTTAACTTAATTTTTATCCAGCAAATATTGTTACCTAATAGGAAACAAATAAAATTTACTTCTAGGGTACAAGCCACCATTAAATAAAGAAGACTTTTTAAATAGAAAGATAACAATACAGTGGTATATTATTCCCAAGAGTAACATGCCTATTGACTGCTGGCAAATTTATTGTGAAAGGGTTCTTGAGGAAAACCTAGCATTTCCAAAAATGCAAAGGAAAAATAACATAAGTGAACAAGTATATATATAAATTAGTGGCGATGAAATTCAAAACTACAGAAGATATATTAAACTACAACTTCCATAATGCTGGGCTACTTGGCCATGTTAGTTGGTGTTTATGAGAGCAAGAATTCAAAACCTCCTGGGGGAGATCATAGATTGCTTGCCCTTGATGCTCAGAAAAATGGTATAGTGTTCCTGCTTAAGCAAGAGTTTGGACTAGAAGACCTCCAAGGTCCCTTCCAACTCTGTTATTCTGTAACCCTGAAGATGTATGACACAAATAGTTTGAATGAGCTAAATAGGTAGGAATAAAGTTGAGACATTTTCCCATTACCAAATAATACGCTTTAAATTCTATCAGGAAATACAGCACCTTCATGGAAGATACTCTGTCTTGAAGAAAAATAGTGTTACTTTTGGGCAAATAGGTCTGTTATTATTGTATTTTTAAAAAGCAGTAAAATAATCATTTGCAAAGAAAGAGGAGTAATTAGAAGATAAATTAATGTAATTAAATCATCACCATTGAGGTCTTTTTAATATTTTTTCCAAGTACTTAGGATTTTGTCATAATTCTCCTAACAAAGCTGTAAGGGAGGAGAGGGATGCCCTGGCCCTTCAGATGTTGTGAAATGCAGCTCCCAACATCCCTCACCATTAGCAGTGTTGGCTGGAGCTGCTGGAAATTGTAAGGAAAGTCAGCATTGCAATGCACCATACTGGGAAAGGTGGTGGCAGTGCAAGGCTGAAAGACTGTAAGATTACACAAGGGACTACAAAGTTCTGCACTAAATGGAACAACTATATAGTGCATACTATGTTCCACCTTTAGGGAAGCACTTTTGAGGTTTCCTAGGCTATCTTCCCTTATAGTTCATAGGACTGAAATTTATCTTCCCACTCTTCCATAGTGAGATGTGAAGCACTCCAAATTCAATTCTCCAAAGGTCCTTTGTAGCACAGAGCTGCAATGTGATCCAAGGAAGATGTGGCTGCTTTAATAAGTTGCAGACAAGTGCTATGATCATGCTCCTGCATGCTCCAAACCACCTTTTGGGATCTGAATCCAAAGAACTGCCCAAACATACATTTTTTAAATGGTTTTAAATGTGTGTTTTGTACACTTAAGTGTATTTTTTGCTAGTGTGTCAAATAATTAAGACTGATTGTAACCACACATATTTGGATTTACAGCATTTTAGCCCATTTATTTGAACTGAAATAATCATATTCTGCTTCAATAGTTCATGCATTACTCCATACAGGTCTTTCTATCTATCACTGATTTGAGTTTTAGTCTGGCTTGTTTTTATCTTCAAATAATTTTTTAGCAACCTGCTTTAGCATAGTGAAAATGCAAGATGTTTTTTTTTCTTTAAATGCATCCATTTGTCCTGTTTAAGGTTTCAGGTTCTGTATAACTATACTCCTAGGAACGAAGATGAATTGGAGCTGAGAGAGGGAGATGTCATTGATGTGATGGAAAAGTGTGATGATGGATGGTTTGTGGGTATGTTTTCCATAACTTTAGTAGTGCCTTTTTAGTAGGATATATAAGTTCCACTTGGTTTTCCTAGCCTGGTGCCCTCAATCTGAATTTCACCTGCAGTCTCAGAATTTCTACCCAGCAGGGTATTTAGAGGGTAACATATTAAGGAAAGCTGAACCCTCTAATTTATTACAACTGGCAACTTTTTATACAGAGTTATTGCATGTATTATTCTAGTTTGCCAGCCATTAAAAAACATTCTTGAGACGTTCCCCCAAATCTTATGTCATGTGCCATTTATTCTTTCACATGTAATATAATCACCCCTTTCCAGATCTTGTTGCAAATATTATAGTTTTTATATCAGAGCAGATCTTTTTCTTTTGGTGCACTCCGCAAATCAAACATTGTTGTGCCGTCTTTCATACCAATTTGGATCTAAACTCTAAAACTAGAGGAATGTATCCAGCAATAAATGATGTTTGTGGTGCACAGTTCTAAGCATGAGGAACTGATTAGCAAAGGATCTATACTGCATGAGATCTGCCTGTATCGTGGTATCTTTCTTTTTATGTGTGGGCAATCTCCTACACTATAAAGATTACCATATTAGGAGACTTGGCAAAAGTTTGCCACCATCATGTCCTAAACCTTGACATAGTAAATTTCTCCATTAAAATTGATGGAGAAAGTATCATTCTCACATGATGTCCTCATAAGCTGCGAGAACTTTCTCATTCTAATGGGTGACTATGGATTCCCTTCTTATTATTGAATCTGATGTGCAAAATGCCTGCATTAAAAAAAGCCCTGCTAAGTTGGAATGAAAATACTTAATAGAGCATTCATTTGATTAGTTGTTTTATTTACAAATGAATGATTGATTCAATATTTATATTTATATATTTATTGAAATCTAATATTTGACTGCTGCTTCCTTACAAGCCCCTATTCAAAAAACGTTTTCTTTGATGTTATAACTGCTAAACAGATAAGATGTTTAAAATATATGGTTTGTCTTTTTAGCAGTGGGAGTTACTCAGCAAAATCTATTATGATAGTATTACATTATTTACTATGATTACATTTTTCATGGCTACAGTATTATAACATAACTTAAATTCTATGGCTATATAATGCAATATCCCATATTTTCCTATTGTGGTAGCATTAAATATGTTCATAAACAATCCTAAAATGAAATGTAAAGGCTGTCTTTAAAGCATGAATATGTTACTCTTGCTGCCATGTTTCATTTATTGCTTCTACTTTCAGGAACCTCCAGAAGAACAAAATGTTTTGGTACTTTCCCTGGAAACTATGTCAAGAGGCTGTGAAATGATTATTTGTTTTTGTTCCTTTCTTATTTATGCTGCATCTCTGCCACACATCTGCATAAAAACTGCTAGAAAGCATCCTCCACCAGCATCCTTCAATTTTCCTGCTTTGCAAATCCAGGTAGAAATCATGCTGCTCATCTTCACCATCTTCATCCCATCTGCCAACCAGCAGTATTATTCAACAGCTAAAATGGAATCCCTGAGCTTTTGTGAAACAAGAGGAATTAGTTCTATATGAAATACATCTTTTTACGCCTTCGATTTTTGTCTGGCAATGCCAATTTGGAAAGCACGTATAAAAAAAAGCTTAATGGAACAAATAGCATGGCACTTCAAAATGTAACCAGTTATTTGGGGGAAATTGCAATAGTATCCTTACGGGAAAAAAATACTATCTATTACCACCTAATATATAGAACAGATTGCAATTTACTACATTTTAATGGGTTTCCTTTTTTTTTTTTGAGTTTTCACGTTTGTAGCTCAGCAAATGTATGTTGCTGTCAGTTTGCTGTGTCACAGGTTTGTCTCTTCTTTTACCCATTTGCAAGATACAATTAGTACTAAAAATATATTTTTTTCCAAATGTGTATTGCAATATCTGCAAAATGCCTGTAAAAATTTAAGCAGAAATAATCAAAAGGAATATTGATACTAGAATACTTCATAAGCCATGATTTCCAGCTGCATCTCATAAGACATTTTATTAGAATTAGACCAATGAGGTCATAAATTGGTTAAAATCTTTTTTTTTCAAAATAATAAGAGCTTTAGACATGAATTTAGTAAGTACGGAAGCATGAGTTAGATTTCCTGCACCTTCATGTATTAATATATAAAGTACAAAAACTTGCATCTGTTTGTAGGAAGAATCAGAAGCTCCCAACACAGTGATGTCTCAATAGGGAAAATGTGTCATATGCTATTGATATGTGCTAATACAGGAAACATGAGTTGGATGTACTTTTTATGTTCATGTAATTAATGTCTTAAATTAAGTGGAGAGATGTGTATGCATGTCTCTACAGGATGAAATTGATGATTCTAGTGTAGTTACAACATACATGTCTCTCTGGAAGAAAAGAGGGAGCACTATCATATGTGTAAGTACAGTAAGTCTGTATCCTGTACATACACCTATTTTTAACTCCAGGAACTCATAGAAAGGAAATTATGTCTGTTATTTGACATTAGGAAAGCTCAGAAATACTGGAAAATCATGAATCATTATGAAGCAAACTAACAATGAATAAGTATCTGCTTTATAAAAACGTGTTGGAAGTGCAATAGAGTATGTGAAGTCTAATTCATTTATTACATGGAAATTCAGTAATGAAAGAGCAATGTTAATATTCTGTTTGATTGTAGCACAGTCACATAGAGTTGGGGAAATCTACCCAAAGTATTATATGATGCTATTTTTTGGCTAGATAACCGGAACTGTATTTTCTTTCTAGCAACATAGCATTAAAACAAGGACGCAAACAGGAAAATTAGTACCTGTGAATGGAGTTTCATTTTTGGAACAGTATAAAATATTGAAGGCAATATTTGTGTGTGTGTGTGTGTGTGCAAGTATAGACAGCAGTAGCAGATGATAAAAACACAGGACTTAACATATCTATGATGTTATGTAAAGCCGTCCAGGTTGGTTTTGCTGGCACCTTACAAAAGACAAAACAGAAAATCTTTTACTGCATTTCTATTGTGGTAAAGGACAGATCTCATAAATTTGTAGGCTTGTAGCATTTTGTATATATATTTCCTTTTTTTTGTACAGAGCCATTTTATTGTTGATTTTTTAAGGAAAAAAATCATGTTAATCATCCCTTTTCCACCAATAAAAATCACATCTTTATTTTGTTAGTTTCTCCTCCAATGTATAAGCACATTTGGATAGTGCATTTCTGCTAAATTAGCAATTGAAGCAAAAGTTTTATGAATAATATTATTGTTTACCAGTCAAATTTTTAAAATGTATATATGTCTTTAATATGAAGAAATATCAATAGGATGGCAAAAAAACACATCTTTGTGCTGCATACCTTTATTACTGCAAATTTCATGGCAAAAGCTTGAAACTTCCAAGGCTTTTTACTACAAACTAAATGTGCATGCAGCTTTGCTGTGAAATCAGTAATGATTTTGATGCCATTTATGATGGAAAACGTGTCTATCTCTGGTGGTATTTTAAAAAATGCACTGTTTCTATCCTGTATCTGATTTTAATAGAAAATGTTTTTCATACCTGTTTTCAGGTAATTGACTCTGAATTCTTATTTGCAAAGGATCTCTGTGTTTCTTTTTCCTTGAAGAGACTTCTAATAAAAATGGCTTGAAATACATGAATGGATCTTGTTGGTTATCATATGGTAGAGCATTGCCCATTAAAATTCAATCAAGAGTTGTTTGAAATGTTGAATGTAATCATTATTCCAAAAATTAGCAAGGAAAAATTGGAAAGTAGAGACTCTTTTTATGAAACCAGTGGAATTTCTAAGTATTTTGTAACTCAGATACATATGCAGACCTGGTAAGAGGTGGGCCAACTCTGTGATAATAGCTGTAACACAAGAGTTTTTGGATTGTTGGAGAATAACATAAATTCCAGAAAGTTCTTCTGCATATGCTATCTATGAAAATGTATTAACAGTAGATCATAGTAACATTCCAATATAATCAGGAAAAATGGTGGCTACTGTTACATATTTATTGATGTAATTTCATTCTAATGTATACATTTTAAAAAAGCATAAGGCTGGGCTACATATTTAGCAAGACAGTTCCATCTGCAGGAAACCAGCTTCTTATAATGCCCAGCCCCTACTCTAGTTTTTACAACCAGTTCTAAGCAAAATGTTTATAGCAAATTATAGCAAATCCCACATAGAAAAGGACATGGGTGATGTGCTCCTACATTATAATGCATACACAGGTCTGATTTTAATTTCATGGTTCCGACAGATGACTCTTCAAAAGAACTTTGAGGCATTGTTTACCTTAAAGAATCTTTTATTTGAGAAACAAAGTATTGGCACTACATAGTCGAAACCAAAAACTAAATTCCCCTCCCCTGGATACAAAGTAGCAAAGCACAATTCCCTCTTCCAATAAACAGTCATAAATCACATTCCCCAATTAGCTTGAAGCGCGGGCTTTCTCCCCAGCTCTCCAGCCCGCCAAAACTCTTATCAACTCTGGGCCCAATTCTGGTATTATTCAAACACCCCTCTATGAACTTTGTTGAGAGTTTTGTTCTTAAGAGAAACCATTGTTTGATCTGTGTTCCAACCTAGGAAAAAGAAACAGTCTGGCCTTAACATGGCTTCACACCAACTACCTCACTGAACATATAAGCCATGTTTTAAGCAAAAGTACTGAAGAACTAATTAGGACAAAATATAAGTGAGTGCTGTTTTCAAAAGATTCCTTCATTATTTAAGCTACTATAGAATCAAAGCTAAGCTCTATTGATGTCTTAGTAGAAATTGTACAAGCTGGATCTAGTATGCACAGAATAGCCCTTCTCAAATTAGGAATGGAGTCAGGACCTAATTTCATAATTTTCTGTTGGAGCTAAGTGCTATTCATTTTTTTAAGAAAATGCATCTGGAATTCCACAGTGTGGGAAATGAAATAAATTCGGACTGTCGCTATCAACTTTAAGATCTACCATAGAATTTTAAATATTCAGTGATTTACAATGGTTATTCATCAAATAAGACAAAGCCCCAGTGGAGTACCACAAGGACTAACCCCGGGTCCTCTACAATATTTCTATCAAAGGCTTGGATGAAGAGATGGGACTAATGTTTATCAAACTTGCAGGTGAGATAAAGTTGGGCGGGATAGCAATATCTTGGAAGACATGGAAAAACAAAAAAATCAGATTTTGAGAGGTTAGAGAAATTAATCTGAAAATAACAGATTTAACAGAGGTAAATTTTAGTGGATGAGGAGAACCAAGAAGATATGCAGCTATAAAATTCTTCATCTGGAGAACACAAAATACACAGATATAAGATGCAGGATATTTGGCTTGGCAATAATATTTGTGGAGAAAGGACTTGAATAATCTTGGGTTGCAAATTGACTGTGAGGTAGCAGTGTGCAAAAAAGACAACTGCACTTTTAGATTGCTTCAACAGACATATAATTTCCCATTGATCAAACATAATATTGAGCAGTGGGTCCACGGCAGTTGGGAAGGGATATGTGAACTTGTCACAGTTCCAGTACCACAGTTTTAAAAGGGATTCAGAAGAAAACGGAACATGTTCAGAACATGGCAACAAGGATAATAAAGGAGGTAGAAATGAACTCCTATGAAGAAAGATTGAAGAAATTGAGCGTTTTTAGTCTTGAGAAAATTGGGAGAGATATGAGAGTCCTGAAAGGATACCTCACAAAAGGTCATGACTTGCAGTCTCTCATTCCAGAACATAGGACACAGAATCATGGCTTTCAACTGTAGAAATGAAGATTCCTCGGGAAACCTTCAACCACATTTTGACAGTAGCACCTCCAAGGAGAGGTGATAGGCTTCTGTTCATGAAATACTTGGAGAGCTGATAGTCATCTACGCAGAATGCTTCAGTTTGATTTCTTGTAGTCCTTGGGAGCTTAGATTTATGGAGCCTCTCAAACTCTATGATTCTCTATCCTTCTTGTAGAAGTCCAGCTGTTAAGCAATCAACATTGTGCCTATCTCCTGTCAATAGAAATGCACTCCTTCCCTGCTGAACTTAATCCTTTGCCAAAGGAATTAAGATTATACCTTTTCAAGTAGGTGTTTTAAATTATTTTTCCAGAATTATTTTACAGTTTGGGATCTATTAGGTTATGAATTAGATTTCAAGCATGTGTTTTTCTTGCATTTGTATGTCACATATTCCTGAAGAATATAAAGCAAGTAAGTAAAATAAAATTATTTTCCTTCTGGTGGTTGATACACTTGAAGAGTTGCTTTGTACTGGCACTTTTGGCCTGGAAGTAGAACATAAGTCTCTATGTTGCCAGCACAAGGGAAATAAACAGCAGTTTTCAAAGTTTAGGATGTAATCATTTGGAAAATATGTGCTCATGGTTCAAAGCCACAATC